GACTATATTCCTAACATTAATTATGTATTAATTGATTTTTTTAAAACTTCGCCTGGAGCTCCTCTGGGGCTACTGCCGGTCTCAAGCCCAGATAAATGAGGAGGGTTGGGCATGGGGTTAGCGACCCCATCCTGTAGAAGGATAACTCACTATAAAAAACGCGAGCCAGAAAATAATTCAAATTATTTCTTTAATTTTCACTTTTAAAAAAACAGTCACATATTCATCTATATTTTATTAGCAAAAGTCTGTATTATCCGACTGTCGATGTTTAAAACTGACTTTCGATCGTACTTTATCAATATGGGGTTGTGGAGATTACTAAGTTTTTGATTGAGGTCATGAATCGATTGATGTTAGACCACCATTGAAGACCTGGAAGCACTGGGCCGCCATTTCGTTTTATTATGGGACTCCTCAGCAGCATGCATCCATGATACGGTTCGCAGGATTCGAACCCAGAACCTTCGATCATTTGGACCACTGAGCGGCTGGCATCCAATGGTGTTAATGTCTTACCTCAACCAATCCACGAAATTGCGCGACTCAGTGGTTTAGACGGTAAGCGTTCACGGGCAAGACCGAAGATTCTAGGTTCGAATCTTGCCGACCGGATCGTGGGTGCACACTCCTGAGGAGTCCCGTAATAGGACGAAACTCCCGTTCACTGCTTTCAGATTTTCAATAGTGGTCCAACATCAATCGATTCATGATCTCGATCATACATTGTCAGTATATTTTACAACCAATTGAGTGCTCAGTGGATAAAGCATTGGTGTTTGAACAAAAGCGCATTGAGTTCGAGTCTCTGTATGAATATCAACACTTGTACGCAGGCACATGCACACATTTGACGAGTCAAAAATAACAAAACAAAAACACTGGATATTTTTCTAAAAAAAAGTGAGGATGTGTACAGCGTTACATTTATGCATATTATAATATTCATCCCATGTAACTCTTTATTCATAATAAACATATGGTTGTCTATTGAAATATTCCCACAGAATTCTCTTTCATCTGATTTGCCCAAAATCTAAACTAAAAGATAAATAAACAAATTTATTGGATTACAAAATTATCCATATAACATATGAGTTTTGATTGGTCTAAATAGGCATAGTAACAATTTTCCACATTTCATCATTATTTGTATCATTTTTAGTAAACAAATGTCTGCATTACATAATGTAAGTAAACCGTGTTTATTTTTTAAAAGAGTTTAATAATATGTTTAAAACTGGAAAACCTAAGACGTGCACTGCTGAAGAATCACACAGTAGGACGAAACGGTCGTCCAATGCTTCCAGGTTTTCTATGGTGGTCTAGTTTTAATTGACTCATAATCTAAACTATTAAAATTACTAATAATATTCACAAAACCCCTTCTGATATAAATCTAAAATCATTATGATATGAACGTTTGTAAATGTTTCCTTTTTAGAAACGTTCTGTGATTGATACACATTGTCACTTGTGTGAATCTATTTTTGATAATGTAAGTTGATCAAGTTAATAATTTGTTTTTCTTAAAAAGTCTGTGCTGGCTAATGTTTGTGTTTTTTTTTTAAATATTAGAATTACCCTCTTATTGTATCATCATTTAGGTATTTTATCCAAGTAATTGTATAAGTTATTACGTATGTTGGTAATGAATTTCAATGTTTATTCATTTCTGTCTATTACTAATAACAAATGTTAATTATCAGTAACTTGATAGGTGTATTTATTATTTGTTTATTTAAACACATAAACATTGGTACAAGGAGGCACCAAATAGATATGCACCACATAAGTCGTTCGATTCGTGTGAGAGCTGGAATACTACCCGGGTGCCAAAATCAAAGTAGGTGGTTTTTTAGGGGGCAACACCTGGAGCCTTTGATCTAAAGGTTTAATCCACAAGGAAGTGGAGCAACGTGAGGAGATGCAGTCCCATGGTAGCTAGTGACCAACAGTAGGTTCATACGCCATTTAATCCTACAGGATACTGAAGCCCATGTGCACCATTGGTTTGGAATGAGGGTTTTCCAACTCCTCTAGATGGACTCTCCTTGTCCACCGACCCGGTTAAAGCGCCGAACATTCGCTTTTCGTCCTCTCAATTTTGTAAAAAAACACCTCCAGTACTAGAAGTAGTTGTACGCACGTGGCCATGTGAGAGCATTCCTAGAGGGAGGGCTGACTCTCCTCACTCTCGGCCGTACCAGGGCATTTGGGGGGCTTAGGATATGAAGTGTTCTACTTTCAACCATTAAATTACCGGTCCCAAACTTCCTCACTAGCCCTCATACTCGTGACTTGTATCCAAATATACTAAGCTGTATCCAGTGAATTAGTTAAAACATTTAGCTTTCAACATTTTTAAAATCTAAATTCTAATATTTTAAATTGCCTCATGTTCTTCTTTATTCAGAAAAACAAAACAAACGGTTATTCTTTTTATTTTGAAGTTAAATACCTCGTTTTTCTTTGTTTTCTCTTTTTTTTTGTTTTTTTTGTAAGTCAACAGTTCATCATATAATGAAAATCTATTTGTTCAGTATAGATACCATTATTAAGGACAAGAGTCTTATTACGATAATCAATAATGATAATAAGAGCTATATTCTTATGAAGAAACGTATATATATATAAAGTAATATTCCTTTAAGGAAACATGACACTGAAAAGAAATTGAACTATACTAAGGGAATCATTTTCAGGCAAAGATGATAATTATATATATATTCTCTTTTCATGTCAATATTTCCCCTTTCTTTTTTCTGATGTTAAATTCATCATGAATGATACTATCCGGTTGTTAAATAAAGATGGATAATGGCTAGTAGTTGAATCCAGTTTGACGCACGCTACTTTGTCCTACCTGCATCTCAGAGTTGATGTTTGCTCCAGAACTCCAATCCAGTACCATTCACTTCAAACGCTATCGCGTTATTTACTTAGCTACTGAGTCCTGATAGCCACCTGCTTGTACAATGGGATAAAGTTTAAATTCACCTGGTATTGTTTATTTGTATCTTTTCATTGTTACTTAGGATTGTAATTGATCAGTCTCTTGTTGACATATGTGTATCAGGACTCAGTAGCTAAGTGGTTAACCCGATGGTGTTTGTAGTGACCAGTACTGGGTTCGAGTCCCAGAGTGTAGATCAACTTTGAGATGCAGGTATATCCAGATGATAAGCCTCAAGTAGGATGAAACGTGCATCAAACTGGATTTCATTTCTAGCCACTATCCATCTCTGCTTAAAAAAGCTTATGACTTAAGGCTATATATAGGCGATCCGCACATATGCCAACAAGAGACTGATCAATCTCAGTCGTAAACAACCATGGGAAGATACAAGTAAAACAACATCAAGTGAATTTATTACTATTCAGTTGATTTATATTAAGTAACAGAGTCAAACTAATTATTTTTGGCGAGACTATAATTTGTGGATATACCAATCAGATTTACGCTAGCAGATCTTGAATTTTGGCGCGAAATTCATTCACTTATTTGACCAAATATCATTTTAGCATTAAAGCTGATATCAATTCCCCTTTTAATATATACTGACATTGATAAACAAAGAAAAAATTAGTTTAGCAAGAACAAAATCAACTCATATGAATTCAAACGTTGTTAGTTTTGTCTCTTAGGAAACAAAACCTTAGAGATAAAGAAATTTCCAAGCCTAGAATAAGGAAATTAATATTTAGAAATATATATAACTATCATTGTGTGACTGAACTAATTTAATTTATGATCACATTGATTTTTAGTTAATTAAAACAGAAATGAAATCATCACATTTCTTCGGAAAGATTATATTGTGTTGTTATAACTTGTGGCTTTGTGCCCTATTAATATATGACGTAATGATACCGCCAAATAGAGAACAGTGAATTGTCGACCGGGCCAATGAGGCATAAACCCATACGAGCAGTCTAAAGTCTTTATCGGTCCTTCTTTCTTCCTACGCCTGCGTGTTGAGTTCAGAATACAAATCTCAGTTTCCGCAATGTGAATTATGTATTTCAAACATACTGGGCTTATATACAAACCAGACAGACCACATCGTACCATAAAATAGAAAATAACATTTATACAAGATCTAGCCAAATGTGACTGTGAATGTGGGAGACTGTAATTGATAGACCGGGCATAACTTAAGAACGGTAAATCGTATAATAACAGTCCATATGTCGAAATAAGGCTTAAAATAAGAGGAACATGAATATGCATAGTTTAGTTGCATACCAATTATACTAAAAAATATATGTATTGTATTGATCCATAAATAGTTCTCAAAAGTTACCATTCATAGTTGTCATCGTGGTACAACCGTCAATGAACTTGAACCATATTGACTTGTATCATTAACTTATAAGATATTCAAATGAGTTCTATAGGTTTTGTATACAAACCTATATGATATCACAAATAATTATAATTAACGAAGTTCAAACAAAGACAAAAATATTATTCTCTGTATTCCAAGATGATATCAAATCATCATATAAAATAATTTAATTGTATCAGAAAAATCTCAACTCATTCGTCTCCTATCCATTGAGCGGATGTCATCATCAACAGCCTACTGTGGGAGAGAACAAACCAGCTTCCATCTGAAGAGGAAATCGGAAAAAGACGATGGAAATGGATAGAACATACATTACGGAAATCACCAAACTACATCACGAGGCAAGTCTTAACTTGGAATCCTGAAGGGAAGCGGAAAAGAGTAAGGCCAAAAACACAATACGTCGAGAAATAGAAGCAGATATGAAAAAGATGAATATCAACTGGAAAGGACTGCCCAGGACATCGTTGGATAGAGAGTACTGATGGGTGGGATAAGCTCCTCCACGAGGAGTAACAGGCGTAACTAAGTAAAGTAAAAGTACCTATTGGTTTAGCTAATACAATACGTTATATATATTTTTTCAATATCAGTCAATCAAAACTATGTTCTAATAGTTGTTGTATTCTCCAATATTCATTGATTTAGGATATTGACAATGTAATCACCCGTGCAATCTCTTCAAATGTTCATGGTGCTATTGTATTAACCGAGAATAGAAATGATTTTTCAAAAATATTTGAATTAAAAAAGAGGTATACTCCTTATTAACCACATATACATTTCATTTATCAATTAATTACTTAATTTATATCATGGTTAAAGCATAAAACTTATTATGTAATAGTTGAATCGGTCAATTAAGAATTATCAGTAGTTTTGTGGAGATTTTAGAAATTTCATTAGTTGAAACCATGAGTCGATTGAAGCTAGACTACTATGGAAAACCTGGAAGCACTGGACGGCCGTTTTGACCTAGTATGGGACTCCTCAGTGGTGAGCATCCACGATCCCGCACCCCCAGCGGGATTCGAACTTAGGACCTAGCAGTCTAGCTTCAACTGACTCATGAGATCAACTATTGCAATTAAGGATTATTGAAGCAAATCAAAGCAATGATTTAAAAAAATAATTATGTGATTCTTCACGTTCACAATTCCCTTCTGTTTTCTCTTTTATTTCCTCAACTTTACCTTCTTAGCCTTCAGATGTCAGTTTTCAATTTCAATTGGTGTTACACACTTCCTATGCCTGTCAACATAAGTAGCATACAACGCATTAGTAATAATATACAGATTTCCTAGTTGACGGATACTAAGAACAGTGTAAAGTTGTGTAGATTATCAAGCTTTTGGTTGAGATCATAAACTGATTGGTGTTAGACCATCATTGAAAACCTGAAACCACTGGACGGCCGTTTCGTCCTATTGTGGGACTCCTCAGCAGTGAGCATCCACGATCCCGCTTGCGGGATTCGAACCCAGGACCTATCAGTCTGGCTCGCGAACGCTTAACCTCTATACCACTGAACCGGCTGGCATCCAACAGTGTTAATGCGCCACCATCTTCTATTGTAGTGAGGTCTCTACCCGATATGGATTATCTCCACTGGTCACAACTTCTCACTAGAACCATATAATGAGTTCAGTTTATCTCGTAGAGAATGTTTACCTTAAATCTTAATATTAAATTTAATAATATCAATTATCTTTAATTTTTAAAGGACTCTAGTAATAGAATATTGTTTATTTACACCCGTTTTAAACATCATCAGTGCCTAGGAAGTATTTTTCTTTTAAAAATACTTGAGGGCAATGTTAAAGTATACCCTTTCTTATTTATTCAATGTATGAATATGACTTGTAAATTTTGGGTTGAATATCTAGATGTTGTACATGTTTGAGGGAATCTCTATTCATTGAAATCCATTATATATTACTTATATAAATAATGTTTAATGAAATAGTATAATCAAAATGATTTTTCTCTTCTCCTTTTTCAAATGGAAACAAGGATAAAATCAATAGCTTAGTGAATTCATTAATTCATTCGTTCTTTTTAATTCTTCACAAATACTTATTATCCAAAAATAGTAATATTCAGTGTTAGAAACAAAACAAACATCAAATGTACAGTCACTTAAATTAGTGATGATCAATCAATGATAATTATTAAACATAAGCCTTGATTGAATTTGGTTACAACATACAGATTTCGATTATTGATCAAGATCTTGGATTGATCAATGTTGGACCATCATTGAAAATCTCCAAGCACTGGAAGGTCGTTTCTTCCTAACATGGGGCTCCACAACAGTGCATATTCACGATCCTGCACGTAGGATTGGAACCCAGGACTTTTGATCTCGCGAGCGAACGCTCAATCTCTAGACCACTAAGCCGAGGTCCAACGGTGTTGATGTCTAACTTTAATCAATCCACGATATTGTGCATCCATTTTCCTTTATCTTTGGTGGGTAACTACCTCACACCCGACATGGATTAGCTTCACTGCTCACAGCTTCTCAATAGAATTCCAAGAGTTCCATGTTGAATCTAGTCACTAGTAGGCACATGATAATTATCAGTATAGGGTTGTAGGGATTGTTGGGTTTAGATTGAGATCATGAGTTGATCAATATTGGAACATTATTAAAAACCTGAATTCAATGGACGGCCGTTTCATCTTAACACGGAACTCCTCAGTGAGCATAAACAATCTTGTACAAATAATGCGGATGAATTAAACTAATCGTTGGTTCAGTCAATTATATTAGCGTTTGTTATACCAACATTATAATTCAACCAATCCGCAAAGAGGCATGCTATGCTACTGTCCAGTAGTAGCATGCCACGTTGATATTCTAGAAAGCTCCATGATGTTCTGATTGAATGGAAACTCTTCGGTTCCTTTAGGGTTTCCGGAATTCTCGGAAGCCGTCCCAACACCATTTTGTTGTGTTTAGTACCTCTCTAGCCTCTTGACAAGCCAATTTATTCATCCTTTTTGAGTCACATTCTGACCTTCTTAATTATCCACCTATCAGTCTTGACTGTTTTTATAAAAGTATTTTTGTGCGCATCTCTTATCTTATTCATCACATTTCTGTAACTTATTTTTTATCTGACCATAAACATTGAGCTACGCAAAACCCAATCAAGTTGGCTCTTTCCCCTTCTCCGATCTGTCTCGCTTCTCTCTCCTCTTCGCTTGTTTTTTCTGATCATCTATCTGGATCAACGGTTGTGTGAAAAATATACGTCTTCAAAATTCATCCTAGTATTTGTCTTATTTAATTCCGTTATTCATTAATGCGATTTAAGTTTATGATCATACACGAAGGTTACCAGGATATATATTTTTCTATATGATTTAATTATAGTCAGATAAAAGGTCACCACAATTCAATGATGATGACTTCAGCGAGGCTTAATAAATTAAACGTGATTAACTCAATAATTTAGTACTTATGGGTTGTAATGAACTAAAGAAGAGTCACAAACGATACTCCTGTTTATCTACTTCAATTTTTTTTAGTTTCCTTAATTAATTGTTTTGGGCTAAACACTTTTCTGATTGGTTGATAAGTGGTCAATTCCATCTGTATAGTTTACTTCCCAATTCAAATAATTTTCCTCGAAATAAACATGGATCGTTTTAAAGTGAAAATAGATTGTATTGGCTATATTAATTACTTACTTACGCCTGTTACTCCTAATAAAGTATAAGCCACCGACCAACATTCTCCAACCCACTCTGTCCTCGGCCTTCCTTTCTAGTTCTATCCAATTGTTGTTCATTCTTCTCATGTCTATCTTCATCTCTAGATGTAATGTGTTCTTTGGTTTTCTTCTTTTCCTTTGACCTTGAGGATTCCGAGTGAGGGTTTATCTTGTGACGCAGTTCAGTGCTTTCCTCAATGTGTATCCTGTCCACTTCCAGCACTTCTTCCTAATTTCTTCCTCCGCTGGAATCTAGTTTGTTCTATCCCACAGTAGGTTGTTGTTGATGGTATCCGGACAACGGATCAGAATTATTTTGTGTAGACGACTGCTGATAAACATTTGAATCTTCTGGATGATGGGTTTTGTAGTTCTCCAAGTTTCCGCCCCATATAGTAGAATTGTCTTGTATTAAAACTTCTGACTTAGGTGTTGGTTGATGGTTGTTTTGAGTTTCAGATGTCCTTCAGTTGTAGATATTCTGCTCTTGCTTTGCTAATCCGCGCCTTGACATTTGCGTCAGATCCACTGTGCTCACCAATGGTGCTGCCCAGATATGTGAAGGTTTTCACATCTTCCAAATCTCCGTGAAGTGTGATTCGATTGTTGCATGCTGTGTTGTATCGGAGAATCTTGCTTTTCCCTCTGTGTATATTAAGACCTACTGCTGCTGAGTCTGCTGCTGCTACACTAGTTTTCTTCTCCTGCATTTATTGTTGCGTATGCGATAGAGAAGCCAGATCATCTGCGAAGTCTAGTTATATAGTTGAATTCAATCTATCAAATCTCTATTTTACTAAAGTTTTGTGTTATTCAATACTTGTCAATAAAGTTAATCTAGTGTCTTCAGACAATTGATCATCCTCTGAAAACTGCTGACATAAGTCAACAGACATGAAATATTCGTTGAGGGTCTTTTACTGATTATCCATTATTATCTATTAAAGTAATCCAATTCAAACAATACTGAAACATAAAGATAACTGATTAATTTCCTATAATACTAGATCACTATACAATACTGAAAATTCCTCATTTTCGTTCATTTTTACCGCAAATTATTTATCCTAGACAGATATATTAATTTATTTATGTATAATTTCATTACTGTTTTGATCCTCATTCCTAACTAAACGGTTTACCTTTACCATAGACCCTACATAATACTTACATAATAATGTTTGAATAAAATGTAACATTTACTATCTGAAAAGCTTTGATCTTCTCAAGATGTTAATTAAGTAAACATATAAAGCTATATTGTATTGAACAAGAATACAAGTGAGGACAATCAAATGTATTTGTATACAAAATTACAGAATATCATAGTCAATTCTGAGAACTATACAGTAAATACTTCAATTGCAAAATGTCAATCAATCGTCTTAGATTTGATTGTTCTGTCGTTTCCACACCAATCATTTCTTTTGTTTTTGTTCTCTTTTTCTATGATCTTTTTAACCTTCTATTAACAGATATTTCATTATCGATTCGTGATACATACTACTTATATCTGTCTAGATCAGTAGTACATACCACAATATGAGTTGTAATTTAGAAGTAGAAAATAATTTTAATAAAACACTCCAAAAATTCTTGACTGACATCAAAAAAACGTTTCTAAATTAATTGAAATATCTTAGAAACAACATAATCAACTATTTATGGTCATAAAAGTTTAATTCTATGATGGGATTCGACCTCATTTAGCTTCTATGAACAAGGTAGAACAAATTTATGTTTGAATCTCATTTTGGTTAACTGTCAGTTAGTCAGCTACAACGTAGGACCAGGCACATATATGCATCGGTCCAAGTTGCCATGCCTCATTAACACACAACACCGGATTCATAAAAGTAGTTAATTCAAAGGTGGTAATATATAAAAGAAAGATTGCATATAAGGATTGGTTCGTAGAAAGAAAGATATGAAGCAATTTTAATCTCTTAGTTTAAGGGAAGATAGAGAGTGTATACACCGACGCCATTGTGATCGGTTCTGAACCATGTCACTCAGTCTCCAACCATTGGTTACGATAGTCACACGGACCCCAACCAAGTAGTCTGCATCCACCAACATGGCTCAGACTAGAAGTTAGTGACTTCAAACACTGATGCCACGTTTTGGTTTGGCCGGAAGTGATGTCTTTAAAACAGTATCTGGAAAACTGGGATGAAACTTTACTTCCCCATGAGATTCGACTGAATAAAGTTTACCATATTAGAATGCACTCCTAGGTAGAATTACCTGGTCTGGAACATCATAGTACTCTCATGTAATATGTGAAAACCGACTCTAGGATGTGAGTACATCTAGCTGACCAGTACCAAATAGAATGAAACGCAAGTAATGGATTTCACTGCCGGCAACATGCTATATATTCTACGTATTTAATAATAATTTCATCGAATAGATAACTTTGAAATAAATCTCATCATTTAATAGTATGTAAAATGTAGATGTAAATTACTTTTTCTTTATATCACAGCTGGTTGTCATTCGTTAGGATGACAACGATTTTTTCATGTCTTGCTAACATAAAGTTATCCTGATCAACCTCTGAAGTCAAGATTATTATTTAAAAGTAGCAGGATTAAACTTATCATATTAGTGAATCATCGTGATAAAGACTATATTCCTAACATTAATTATGTATTAATTGATTTTTTTAAAACTTCGCCTGGAGCACCTCTGGGGCTACTGCCGGTCTCAAGCCCAGATAAATGAGGAGGGTTGGGCATGGGGTTAGCGACCCCATCCTGTAGAAGGATAACTCACTATAAAAAACGCGAGCCAGAAAATAATTCAAATTATTTCTTTAATTTTCACTTTTAAAAAAACAGTCACATATTCATCTATATTTTATTAGCAAAAGTCTGTATTATCCGACTGTCGATGTTTAAAACTGACTTTCGATCGTACTTTATCAATATGGGGTTGTGGAGATTATTAAGTTTTTGATTGAGATCATGAATCGATTGATGTTAGACCACCATTGAGGACCTGGAAGCACTGGGCCGCCATTTCGTTTTATTATGGGACTCCTCAGCAGCATGCATCCATGATACGGTTCGCAGGATTCGAACCCAGAACCTTCGATCATCTGGCCCACTAAGCGGGCTGGCATCCAATGGTGTTAATGTCTTACCTCAACCAACCACGAAATTGCGCGACCAAGTGGTTTAGACGGTAAGCGTTCAGGCGCAATACCGAAGATTCTAGGTTCGAATCTTGCCGACCGGATCGTGGGTGCACACTCCTGAGGAGTCCCGTAATAGGCCGAAACTCCCGTTCAGTGCTTTCAGATTTTCAATAGTGGTCCAACATCAATCGATTCATGATCTCGATCATACATTGTCAGTATATTTTACAACCAATTGAGTGCTCAATGGATAAAGCATTCAGTCAGTCAGTCAGCTACAATGTAGGACCAGGCACATATATGCATCGGTCCAAGTTGCCATACTGCATTAACACACAAGATGGACACCGGATTCATAAAAGTAGTTAATTCGGAGGTGGTAATATATAAAAGAAAGATCGCAATAAGGATATAGTACAGGAAGAAAGAATTAGTTCGTAGAAAGAAAGATATGAAGCGATTTCAGTCTCTTAGTTTAAGGGAAGACAAAGAGTGTATACACCGACGCCACTCTGATCGATTCTGAGTCATATCGCCAAGAGTCTCCAACCATTGGTTACGATAGTCAGGCGGACCCCAACCAAGTAGTCTGCATCTATCAACATGGCTCAGACTAGAAGTTAGTGACTTCAAGTACTGATGCCACGTTTTGTTTCGGCTGCCTCTAACTTTTTTCCAACCATCTCCAACACCAGTTAGTATTGCACGTCGTGGTAATCGGTGTTCGGGCATACGTAACACGTGGCCCAACCATCTCAGTCGATGAAGATTCATAACCTCATCGACTGACTTACCATCATTCCCTAATACCCTGCGTCTAACCTCACTATTACTTACCCGGTGATCCCAGCAGACGCCAGCAATATTCCTGAGGCATCTGTGGTCGAATACTGGTAGCTTACGAGTAATTTCTTCTTTTAGTGGCCATGTTTCACTGCCGTAAATTAAGAGAGAACGGACTGCCGCGCAGTATACTCGTCCTTTTGTTGATAGACGGATATTTCGCCTTCGCCATAGACGACGTAAGTTGGCAAAAGCCAAACGAGCTTTTCGAATCCGTGCTGAGATTTCTTCAGATACCAACCTATTAGAGCTGATCAGACTTCCAAGATAAGTGAAGTTATCAACGCGTATGACTACTTCACTCCCTATTATTGATTAACTGTAGTTGTTAGAGAATTGAATAATTTATTTAAAGAACTTATCAGAATTAAATTTGATAGGGAAAATTTTAGAATTTAAATAACGATCAGGATTTGTCACGATCTAATTGAATGCTGTCAGAATATTTCAAAATATCACACAACAACAAAAAAAATCCTCACGATCATTATAACTAGACGAAATTTCAATAGAAATATATTTATTTAACAATCATAAGGATTGAACAAAGTCGCAAATTGACATTAACACCGTTGTATGCTGGCTCAGTGGTCTAGAGTTTAAGAGATTGTGCGAAAGAATGGCATCCCTGAGTTTCATTTCCAGATTCAGGATCGTGTATAGGAATTGTATAAAAATTACTCAACAGGTCCATCAAATACCGAGTCATATGAGTGAGTAGTATAGAGTTATCTTCATTTTAATTAAGAACATTTATGTATTTCCACTAGCTTCCTTAACATTATGAACATTCTTTTAAGAGGGAATGACCCTTGAAAAATAAATGGTATTATTACTATGATGCATATATCATTATAATCAGGTAAGGTTAATGATTCTGAGTTCTTTTCAAAATACAATGTATGATATCATAATACAGAATTATTGGTATAATTGAGTCCTTAAAATGTTTAATTATTATTAGTTAAATAGTTGAAATCATGAATCGATTAAAGGTAGACCACCATGTAAAATCTGGAAGCACTGGACGGCAGTTTCGTCCCACTACGGGACTCCTCAGCAGTGCGCATCCACGACAAAACGATCGTCCAGTACTTCCAGGTTTTCCATGGTGATCTACCTTTAATTGACTCATGATCTCAGCCATTGAAATTACTATAACATCCACAAAAACCCTTCTGATATTATTATTTATTTTAATTTTTTTTTGATATTTAGATATCCTGACTGGATTAATGTTTGTCTTGGGATTCATCCTGTTCAGGTAAAAAAAACACTTTACATGTGAATTACAAAACACTATCTAATCTATGAATTCATTTAATTCATAGGTTTATATCTAAAGTGTTACATAAATTATTTTCCACTGGATAGAAGTTTCAATGAATAACATTACAGTTATATTTAAAAGATTTTAATGGAGAATGACTTATAAGCAGAGATGAATAGTCGCTTGCAATGGAATCTAGTACGTGCGTTTTGTCCTATTTACGACCCGTCGTCAAACTATTCTTATAATGCTTGTGAATTAAGGCTATATCGAGGCAATCCGTTCATAATGCACATATGTCAATAAGAAAGTGATCATTTGCAGTCCTGAATATCATTGGGAAAATTCAATTAACCATTTCTCAAAAATGAGAATGATTTAATTTATGGTTCATGTTCTTCATAACATGCGAGATAGTTCGACGATTATCCAATTCAGCGGAAGCCCAATTAGGGTCAATCTGTAGTGGACAAAAGCTATAGAGTAAAGCGATCACCATAAAACCCCCATAACTGAATTATAGTAGTCAATTTACTAATGACTTATTTCATGAAGCTCCGAAAATTCTAGTGAGAATTCCTAATTCATGAAGAACAGACATATCGGGAGTAAAGCCGATGTCATTAACAGCATTGAATGACTGTCTTTTAATATCAGAACCTGAACAAATAGAAATAGTAAAATTGGATGCAAACACAGTGGCTCTAATTGTTAGGTGTTAGCCGAGAAGTAAGTTACGGGTGTTCAGTCCGTAGTCATCCTAAATAGTCGTTACTGTATCTTAAAATTGTATTCATAGTGCATTATTTAATATTAAAAACATATAGAGAATCGAATGAAATTTCACACTTCTGACTATCTCAAGTGATTTATTAAATGGTGTTGGTGACAATTATTTGAACACCACCAATCACAACTTTACACTGGAACTTCAGGAACATTTTGAATTAAGCTATCACTGAGTTAACTATAAAAGTTTATTATTATAATAATTTAATAGTTAAATTTATGAGTCAATTGAAGCTAGACCAAGACTGACACGTCCTAGGTTCGAGGCGGTAATCGTGGATATTCACTGCTGAGGAGTCCCATACAAGAACGAAATGGACGTCCAGTGTTTCTAAAAGTTTAGTTGAAGGAGTTTTTTCATAGTTCAATTGATAAATTTTATTTGCCATAAATCAATTTAATCTTCATTTCAAGATGATCGTCAAGGTTTAATGTTAATTTATCACTATCAGAGTTCAAGTATTTCATCATTACATATTTATTTATATTCTATAATTCACGGATGACTTTTGAGTGACCTTGACAGTGTCCTAATAACTAGGACCAAATGAAGATTTTAAGCCAGTACGAGGGATTAAAACTATGATTTACAGTTGATGGTCAAGATTAGGGATTAGATTTAAAGTTTTCATGACGAACTGACATTAGCTATAATGCCGAAATGGTATTTTGCCAAATGGGTGAATGAATCTGATTGGTTCGTACATAAATTATAGTCTCTCCTGAATAACTTCCAGTTCCTTTCTCCTATTGTTATTCTTGTTTTTTTTTTTGTTTTTTTCAGAAACAAGAAGGAACTCACAATGGACAACGTAGTGTTAACATGAAAGTTTGTCAATAAAATTTCATAGTAAAATTCTTATTACTTTTAGGATTTAAAACATAATCTTGATATTATCCTTCAACATAAATATGAAATTGTTGGCATTGGAGAGGTATGTCAAATTATAATGGTAGAAATTTCCTTTTCTTTTCTTTTTCTTCAATCTTATTCTATACACACATTAGATTGGATTAGATTTTACACAGACAATATGTTCAACTAGTGAATTACAAGATTTACAAAAAAGTATATTCACTATACAAATTCAATTGGCTAAACAATTGAATTTACCAGTGTAAGTTGAAATGTTTATTATTCTTTTTGTTCTTGCCTTTTTTTCTTCATTGAAAAACGATTTCAGTGTTATTCATACCGTTGAGATGGTAGAGAAGATTTGTAACTCAAGTGGAGTTTTGTTCTTTGAACTGGATGATTTGATCGTGGAGCTTTCATTGTTATTCTAAATAACATCATCAGCATAAACTTCAAATAGAAGTGAAGTATTCGAATTTATCCGCATATGACTGACAGCTTGTCCTGTAGACCTAGAAGTTGATTGATTAATGTTAACCTTTAAGCTGTCATTGTTTACTTCTTTATTTTGTTTGTATCTCCTATTGATGGGAATTCCGGTCAAATATTTGTACATTATTTTACTGGTTGGTTGATAAATTGGATCGATTTCAATCAGCATCAAGGTCTACAGGATAAGCTGTGGGCGATGATGTCGTTCAGAATATTTATTTTTAAAATTAAATATATTTATAAACCACATTCTCTAAATTTTGTTTTTCTGTTCCTTTTTAATTTCTTATGGAGAAAATAAATAAATAACACACGAACCCAAGAAAAAAAATATTTTATCCCATTACTTTTTAAACTATTTTAACTTAAAATGAGCTATACATTCATGTCGATCATAAACTGCATTTCGATGAGAAATTGACAATCTATCTCGTTCAACCTGACAAATTTTCATTTAAAACTCTCCAACATCAAATGAAACTGTCATCATTAATTCATTTTGATTTCTTAAACCATCAACATTTCGACCATATCATCACTATTCATTTTGATTCAATAACATAGAATTAAGTTCACATTGTTACCTCATTTTTATTAGCATTTAGTTAATAGTTGCTGATTAGGTCATTAACCATAGAACTTATTTAAAAAAAAAAAGAAATTAGGACAATATTACAATGATAATTCAATCTTAAATGATTCATACCGAACAATTCATTATCGTTTTTAGTTTCTATCCATCTTCTTTTCTTGTTGTTGTGGTTGTTGTTGTTGCTGGAGGTGATGGTGGTAGCGGTGAAATCGATTAATAATTGAAAACTTACAATTTAATCTTTCATTTTAGAGAAATAAAAATGAGGTAACAATGTGAACTTAATTCTATGTTATTGAGTCAAAATGTTGATGGTTTAAGAAATCAAAATGAATTAATGATGACAGTTTCATTTGATGATGGACAGTTTTGAAAATTTGTCAGGTTGGACGAGATAGATTTTCAATTTCTCATCGAAATGCAGTTTATGGTCGACATGAATTTACAGCTCATATTTTCATTCGTTATAGAGTTGTGGATGGTGTTGTTTAAAATTAATAAAAGTTCCAAGGTGGTATACTTGAAGATCTGAGTGAATGAGACTTTCAATTGATAGAAGATGACAGGTTTGATGTGTTGTTTGGTCTTCATCTTTTCCGTTTAACTTCATGATTTCGAGTTAGGGCGTACTTCGTAATGGAGTTTGATGATTTCCTCAGTGTGTGTCCTATCGACTTCCATAGTCTTTTCCTAATTTCGTTTTCAGTTGTAATCTCATTTGTTCTCTTTCACACTAGGTTCTTACTGATGGTATTCGGTCAACGGATATTCAGTATCCTGTGTAGACAATTGTTTATGAATACTTGTCCCTTTTTAATCATAATTGTGGCAGTTCTCGAAGTTTTAGCTCCATACAATAGGGCTATCTTGACGTTCATATGGAACATTCTGACTATTCTGTTTGCTCAGAGTTGTTATGCTTCAACTGTAGGAATGCTGTCCTTACTTTGCCAATCCAAGTCTTTGCATCTACATCAAATTCTCCTTGTTGATCCATAAGGCTGGTCAGAGCTTGTCCATCAAGTGTGATTAAGTTGACGTTTTCTGTACTGTATTTGAGGATCTTGGTTTTTCCCTTATGTATTTTGAAGCCTACTGATTCAGTGGCTGCTGCTCAAATCGTCATATATTATTGTTTAAAAATCTATTCAACTCTTAAAACATATCTTCTTGATAAAAATGAACTAATGTTAATAATGTACAATAATTGTCAATTTTAGAAATGTTCATTCACGTTCTGCTGGAAAAGAAACCATTGACATATTAAAATCTGAAGGTAAGTTTACTTATCATTTCAATAAGTTTAGAATGATATTAGTGATTTGTTTCATTAACTACTTCATAACATGTATACTTTGCATATCAGTATTATATGTATTAAAATTAAGTACAAGAAGTATGCTAATTTACAGGAATGATCATAGGCAACATGTGAAGAAATCTAAAGCTGCATTAATTGGAATTGTGCTGTGCACTACTTATATAGACATAAATAGTATATTACGATAGTCAAGAATAGAATGTATTTCAGTAGAAGATCGAGAAAGAGAGAACGGGAATGGAAAGCAATTGACATGAAAATACAGGAACAATTGAAATCTGAGACGATGGACTGATATTAACAAGAGAAACAGTCAGGTTTTAGGCAATGGATTGATGTTTTGCAAGTGTTTACTGTAGTGTTCTCAGATTTTAGTGAGATGTTCTTTAATTTAGTGTTCAAATACATTCAAATGTCCCCACTCTTGTTCTTGTTCGCTACACAATGACCTTATTCGTAAGTTATGTTAAAACAACCTTTGTGATAATTTATGGAACATAGTTTCTGTACATGACTGATGAATGTAAGAGTATGGAAAATATTGATACTCTCAGAAGATATTGTGACCCAAAGATCATATACATTTCATAATGATAGATGTCTCTGTTATAATTTGTAGTTTGGATGCTTATTGTCTTGGCTCTTTTAATGCTACATTTGTATGTGGTCGTCGCGGATCGTTATGTCGGAAACGCTTATCTCTTATACTCCGAATGATGGACTTCTGCAATTCCCACAACGCGAAAGTAAGAACACAAAGACTGGTATAAGTGAAGATTTATTGACCCCAAAACACGGCGATGACGACGACGATTCTAGTAGAAAATACACTCATTTATATATTGATTGTACACCCATTTTGATTAATAATAAGGATGAAATCACATATATGAAAAATAGTTAGGGTTATAACAAATCACATACTGAGCATAGTTCGTGTCAATGGAATACAAGAATATCGCATATTATACAGAATAAAATATCATACGAGACAATAAAACAAATACTACGTTGAGTAATCATTACAATGAATCAAAACAGAAGTAGTGTAATGAGTAAATTAATCGAAAATCGACTTTTCTTTCCATCATATCCGTCTCATCTTTGCCATGGATAAAGTATTAAACAATTTATTTGCTAGTGTTTAGTATAGGATAGGGTTTATTGTTACTATTTAGGGAGATTTAGTCCACCAGGGTGCTTGGTACCTGTGTGGTTGCGCAACAGGATTGAGCTGTACTATTCACATTGTAGCTTTAAAGCCTATACGGTGTCTGGTTCTCCTGTGAAGCGGGATTGAGCTGTACTGCTCGGTTTATAAAATTTAAGCCTTGGTGGTGTCTGACTCTCCTGTTAAACGGGATAGAGGTGGACTGTTTGGGTTATCACGTGAAAGTTCGGATGGTATCTGGTTCTCCTGAAAACCAATGTAAAATTACCCTGGCCCACAAGGGTATATTATATAAATGTAACTGAGTGATTTAAGAAGATTGTATAGGGCATTTAATTCATAGAATAGATTAGAGTTAACTGAATTGATGCAATAAGTCTGATGGCTTATACTCAAAATTTTAATTGATATTTCAATCTTGGTTAAGTACATAGAGGTATCACCACCACTGGCTCGGTAGTTACTTAAAGAAAAATAACTGATTTTCTTCACTTTTTGTGTAGTATGTTTGTTTTATTATTAAAATAGATAAATTAGTCCTTGTACAGAATACATAGAGCTTTTAACAATCTGGTCGAATCAATATTATCTGTAACAGTAGAACAGTCATCCAGATAGCAGCCATTAATAAGACCGTTGTTCATTATGTGTATCCACATATATTCACATTATTTTACTGCTCATAAAAATTAATTGAAGATACTATAGTAACCAAGATCACAAGTGGGGAGAATGAAACATATATATATATATATATATATATATATATATATACAAAGTTACAGAATCTCCTAGTAAAATCTGAGAACTATCCAGTAGATTTTTCTTTTGCAAAATGTCAATCAATCGTCTCAGACTTCATTGTCCCTTCATTTCCACACCAATCATTCTTTGTTCTCGTTGTCTGTCCTTGAATCTTCTCAACTTTCTGCCACTTGGCATTTCACTTTCTACTGATAATACATACTACTCAAATCTGTCGAGATATTCTGATATTTCGTGACTCAGTGTAAGTCACTTCTTCAGAGAATAAATAAATAACCAAATCAAAATGAATCCAAGTTTAATTAGTATAAAGGAGCAACTCAACAATATTAAGTACAATCAATCTAATTTTTCTATTCATGAGATATCTACAAATAAATACTATTTTTATTTATAACAATTTATCCAGTGCTCAATTTATTCGAAATAATCAAATCAAACCATGGTAATGATACCTAATTAAGTAGTAGTAGTAGTGTAGTGAACAAGAACACCAGTGGGGACAATTGAATGTATTGTACACAAAATTACAGGACTTGTTGATAAAATCTATCAATCATATAGTAAATGCTTAATTTGCAAAATGTCCACCAATTGTCTCAACATGACTCAGACCTCATTGTTCTTGCATTTTAATACAAATTACATTCTATTTCCATTCTTCACTGCTCGATCCTCTTGTCACTCTGCTTCCCGAACTTCTGTTCACGACTAACATCATATACTACTCATGTTAATATAAGTAGCACACACCACAGTAGTAGTAGTTGTTGTCGTTGAATTTTTAGAAAAGAAACATTTGTTGGTTGTTTCATTTTACTTTAAATCCATAATTACGTATGCCCAACGACCGACTGCTCCAACGTGCGATGTTCAGTGGTATAGGAGTAGGTTGAAAGAAAGCTAGGGGCTGCCAGACCAAAACATGGCACAAGTCCATGAAGTCACTGACAAGTGAAATGAGTCATGTTGGTAGGTTTAGAATAACCGGTTGGGATCCGCGAGACGATAGCAACCGATGGTTAGAGACCCTGAATGACATGGCTCAAAATCGTTTGCAATGGCGCAGGTGCATCCACTCTTTGCGTTCTCTCAGAAGTACATAAACCTTGTGAAGGCTCTTTACTCGAACACTACTAGTCGAGTCAGGGCTTATGGCGAACTGTCATCTACTTTTGCAACCTCAAGTGGTGTCCGTCAAGGCTGCCCACTTTCTCCATTTTTGTTTAACTTCATCATAGACCTATTGATGGAAATAACACTCTCGTCGACTGAATTCTCGGGTATTGATCTCCTTCCAGGAGGTCCACTTATCGACTTAGAATACGCAGATGACATAGTCCTGTTTGGTGAAGACGCTGACAAAATGCAGAGTCTTCTGGTAGCACTAAGCAACAATGCCAGAATGTTTGGGATGCGCTTCTCTCCCTCTAAATGCAAGTTGTTGCTTCAGGACTGGTCTGCGTCAACACCTGAACTAAGGATAGGGAGTGAAGTAGTCGAACGAGTTGACAACTTCACTTATCTTGGAAGTCTGATCAGCCCTAATGGGTTGGTGTCTGACGAAATCTCAGCACGGATTCGTAAAGCTCGTTTGGCTTTTGCCAACTTACGTCACCTTTGGCGGAGGCGAGATATCCGTCTGTCAACAAAAGGACGAGTATACTGTGCGGCAGTCCGTTCTCTCTTAACATGGCCACTAAGAGTAGAATTTACTCGTAAGCTACCAGTATTTGACCAGAGATGCCGTAGAAATATTGCTGGCGTCTGCTGGGATCACCAGGTAAGTAATGGTAAGGTCAGACGCAGGGTATTAGGGAATGATGGTAAATCAGTTGATGAGGTTGTGAATCTTCATCGACTGAGATGGTTGGGCCACGTATTACGTATGCCTGAACACCTATTACCACGACGTGCAATGCTAACCGGTGTAGGGGATGGTTGGAAAAAAGTTAGGGGCGGCCAAACCAAAACGTGGCATCAGTGCTTGAAGTCACTAACTTCTAGTCTTAGCCATGTTGGTAGATGCAGACTACTTGGTTGTGGTCCGCGTGACTTTCGTAACCAATGGTTGGAGACTCTTGGTGACATGGCTCAGAATCGATCACAATGGCGTCGGTGTATACACTCCCTGTCTTCCCTTAAACTAAGAGATTAAAATCACTTCATACCTTTCTTTCTACGAACTAATTCTTCCTTCCTATACTATATCCTTATTGCAACCTTTGACCTAACCACTCCTATGAATCCGGTGTTCATCTTGTTGTGCTAATGAGGTATGGCAACCTGGACCGATGCACATATGTGCCTGGTCCTACGTTGTAGCTGACTGACTGACTGATTACTGCTTATACTCTTACTACCTCTACCACTACGGGATTTGAATCGACAACTGCATCTCTGTGCTAATGTGATATGGCAACCCGAACTGATGTACGTACATACGAAGTTCTACATTGTTTCTGACTGACTGATTAATTTTGTTAGAAATGCTGTAGAAAGAAAAAAATATTGTTAAGTGATATGAGATTGTTTGAATTTTCAAACATCTGCTTATAATGTATAATATAACTATTGAATTGATATAAGTATTAAATAACAAAACTTCATTATTTTTTATGCCTTGTATATACTCAAAACTAATCTGTCCGTATAGATTTAAGCCAAAAGTGATCATCATCATTTGATTGAATACCATATGTTTGAATACAGTAGAGAATTCCCATAATGAAATAATGGTTTGTTACAACAGTTGGTTGTTTGTTTGTTTTTTAATCACTGAAATTGAAAATTATTCAGATGAAATAATTTATACGAATATTCATTATTAGTTTGAGGAGTCCCATACTAGGACGAAACGGCCGTTCAGTGCTTCCAGGTTTTACATGGTAGTCCAGCTTCAATTGACTCATGATTTCAATCTGAAATTTCTAAAATCTCCACAAACCCCTTCTGAGAGTATAGAAAAGTCAATAGATGAGCAAAATTATGTTTGAAATAATAATCTCAGTGATTGAAATTTAAAATAAAAAATTCCAATGTTTCGTCTAACCAACTTGTCTGAACTTCTTCAGGAGAATAATCGAAATCAAGATTATCAAAGAAATACATATATATATATATTTCGTTGAACAACCATAACAAATCATATCTATGCTGTGCTAATCCAATCGTATTTAGATATTAACTTGAGTAAATAGGAGAACATAAGTCAGTTATATGAGAATCATGTGTCAAGTTCAAGATGTGAAAATAAATGACTGAATGAATTGTATATATATATGGTGTCGGTCATTATGTTAGGCCCACATATCTCATTCTCGTTTTCGGACAGGCCAATCTATTCATTCTACTTGAGTCACATTCTGAGCTTGTTAATTATTTGCTTATCAATCTTGACTGTTTTTATATGAGTGAGTAGGTGTGTGCACTTCTTATCGCATTACTCATCACATGTCTGTAACTCATATTTGTGTAGATATGCTATTTGTTCCTTCAGGATACTGGAGCCTATGTACACCATTGGTTTCGAATCCGGTTAAAGCGCCGAACATTCGCTTTTCGTCCTCTCAATTTCGTAAACAACACCCCTGGTCCGAGAAGGCATTAAGTAGAACTTCCCTGGCAGAGGCTATATACGCGTGACCATGTGAGAGCATTTCGAGAGGGAGAGCGGACTCTCCCCACTCTCGGACGTACCAGAGCATTTATTAAATTATTGTTCAGTGTTTTGTTGAATGAATGTCATTAAAACCCTTTATCATTATTTAATGAATACAGTTTAAAGTATAAAACGTTTTCTTTTCTATAACTTTTTGTTTTTTGTTATTCATTGTTAATCTACAATTAGCATAAGTATTAATGCATTAAGTTTATTTACAAATAAAATGGTATTAATTGATGATTTTAGGTATTACAAAAGTTCAACTACATGCTTTCGATGGTCGACCATCCGTTGCAATGATTGTTTAAGTGAAGGTTATTACTTTTCAATACCATCTAGTTTACCAAGAAGTAAACAGGTAAATAATTCTGTATATTGTTAGGGTTTCTTTTTTAACGGAAGTTTATTTATTTTAATTGTTGAATTTATGAATCATTTGAAGCTAAACCACCATGGAAAGCCTGAAAAAACTGGACGGCCATTTCGTTCTAATGAGTTACTCCTCAGCAGTATGCACCTACGATCCCCCACAAGAGAGATTCGAACCCAGAACCTATTAGTCTCACGCGCGAGCGCTTAACCACTAGACATTAAACCGGTATCCAACAGTGTAAATGTTTAACTTCAACTAATCCACGAAGTTGCGCCACCGTCCACCATTGTCATCAGTGTGTTACTATGTCACAACTGACCTGATTGAATTTCACTGGGTAGTTTGTAGTTTGTTTCTTTGAGTAGTTTTTATTTGTCTAAGTAGTCATTTGTATCGGTGGGTTTGTCTAAATGATATGTTGCTAAGATAATTAAAAGTGTTATTTTTATTTTATTTAGTTGTCTACATGTTAATTATTGAGGATAGAATTTGATGTGTTATTTATAATTATGGTCTCACATGCGGGATAGTGGATGCGGACCTCTGAGGCATCGCATACTAGGACAAAACAGTGCTTCCAGGTTTTCCATGTTGGTCTAGCTTCAATGGACTCATGATCTCAATTGTTGAAATTACTACAATCTCTACAAAACCCCTTCTCAATATAAAACTAACAATTATGTAATCGTTCAAATAAATCATGAAACATATCATTCTCTTTACACTAACATATTACGTAACCGGACTTCTTTTTTGTTTATTACATAATAATAAATCATTTCATAGCAATATTGTCTATATATTTAGGGTGCTTGAAATTTAAATGAATGATATTAGAGTGAAGTTGTTAATAAAAATAGAACAATATTTAATATCAGGGGAAAACTTCTCTCCTTTGATAAATTTCTATGGATATTGTTTAAGCTCCAATGATACGTTAATGAAATGCAAATGGAATGTGATATATAAATTAGTATATATGGACGCTTTTTTCTAGTACAGTTAGTATGATATCAAATACAAATATTAGAAAATGAAACAGTGTTTTCATTCTAGTATCTAATATCTAACTGATGTACACCATAGATACCAATAAAGTTCGAACCAAGAGCATTTAGGTGTAATTGCTGGAGTTTTTTCTCTGAGCTAAATGGTTTGGTCGTGGAGCTTGTTATGTTCGTCAACTTGAATGCTACTAATGATTCGTCTTACTCGGAACTGGACGAAGAATCAAGAATTCAGAGACTCGATAGGCTATACTGGTCCGTTGTCCCCGACTCAGCTAACTCGATCCAGAAGTCTTGGTAAGATGTAGAAAGTGTATTCTACAGACAACCAGAAGATACCAGGTCCCTCAAGCACACAAATCAAGCGTATTTACACAAATATATATAATCGATATTGCCATGGAAGTTTTTAAACATTTAATCGATAAGTTCATCAATCGACTATGTGCGTGGGTGGTAAGAAATGCCCAAGCATACATCCTCATACAAGCTCCACAAAGATGAAATTACAAAATATGAGTTTTGGAGATCTAACGTCCCCAACAGAACTCCACATCACCCACCTGAGCTACAAATCTCCTCCACCATTTAGGTGTTATGGCAAGTTAATCGACTAGATTTATAAATATGAACCATTAAAATGTCATTTTAGTAGACTCAAATTAACAGAGTAGCTACGAGTCCTGATATTCCTTTGCCTCATTTGTATTAGTCGTTTCAGTATATTAGTAATCAGTTATATAGTAGAAAGAAACAAATGTTCACTGATGCTTGATTTTAATTGGTTGCTTAGCTAGAACTAGCTCATAATACCAACTGTCATGGGAAGAATTTATCTGTACCTAATTGTATATCTACAAAAAAGCATCTCGTTACTATGCCGAATTTAAAATAATTATAACACGTTAGTATGTTATTTGCAAATTTATGCTTATTCAACAAAATGGTTATAGGAGGCACAATATTTCCACACAAACGCGTACATAAAGCTACATGAGTCCCAACGTATCATACTACACAGAACCAGATTGATCATATCTGTATCACTAAAAAATTCAAAAGGTCAATAGAAGATGTGAGAACAAGGAGAGGAGCTGACGTAGCTTCAGATCACCACCTGGTGGTTGCCAATATGAAACTGAAGCTAAGGCACTGGACAACTGAGCAAACAGAATTACTAGGGTTCAATACAGCCTCCTTTCGAGATACTGACAAACGCAAAGTAGGGGCGGCGTTCTTACGGTTGAAAGACATATGGAATTTAAAATAACTGTCAACCAATATCAAAGTCAGAATCTTCAATACGAACGTCTAGAGAGTTCCACTGTACGAAGCTGAAGTCTCCAGAACTACTACAACCATCATCAAAGCAGTACAAGTATTCACTAACAATTTTCTACACAAGATACTCAATATCTGTTGACCGGATACCATCAGCAACAGCCTATTTTAGGAGAGCACAAACCAGGTTCCATCTGAAGAGAAAATTAGGAAAAGACGATGGAAATGGATAGGACACACGTTGAGGAAATCATCAAACTGAATCACGAAGCAATTACTAACTTTGAATCGGTAAAGGAAACAAAAAAAGAGGTAGACCAGCAAAAATATTGCTTCGAGAATTGGAAGTAGACATGAAAAGGATGAATATCAACTGGAAAGGATTGTCTAGGACAGATCTGGATTGAGAATGCTGGTGAGAGGCTCATGTTCCTTCATGAGGTGTAACAGGAGTAGGTAAGTAGATATGCTATGAGATAAAACCTGAAAAGTGCACATGAAATTACATATGCGTTAGAATAAGTGTTCAGTACCTTATGTTCTTATTTTAGAGATGTTCGATTTGTTTTAGAGCCACTTCTATGAATTCCAAGCTCTTTTTCTCATCACATATTGCCCTCACTGATTCGCAAGTACAAGAAATCGAATTCTTTAGAAGTGTGGAATTGTACAGAGAGTAGGAGGAAGGTAGGATAATCTCTGTGAATCTTGTACATTTTCCCAGGGGCCATGGTATTCCAGCACGACAACATAGCCCTCTAGATGATTATCATTGCATCTGATAATGGGTTGTTAGTAAAGTAGCCATCCTAATCAGAGCATAATTTTCACTAAAATCTCCTAGCCTAAAAAACTTATAACACCATGTTGTTACTCCCTGCGAATATTATTAATTAATTATGTTTAAAAATTGTTTCGTTGTAGTTCTTTTGGTTTGGGTCATATATGATGTTCGTTGACTGTTCATCACATAACAGTAGATAGATATTTTTGTATTGAGATCATAAACTGATTGATGTTAGACCATCATTGAAAACCTGAATGCAGTGGACGTCCGTTTCTTCCTATTGTGGGACTCCTCAGCAGTGAGCATCCACGATCCTCCTCCCAAGATTCGAACCCGGGACCTATCTGTTTCGCTCGCGAACGCTTAACCTGTATGCCACTGAACCGGCTGGCGTTCAACATTGGTAATGTCTAACCTCAACCAATCCACGACCATCTTCCATTCTACTGAGGTAGATACCTGTCTCTACCCGACATGGATTAGCTCCACTGGTCACGGCTTCTCACTAGGTGGATTTATCCATGAACGTATATCAACAAATTTGTACCCGTCACCAGTTATATCTGCTTCTTCATGATGTTCGAATTGAGGAGTTTTCCTGTTCCAATTATTAGTACTCTATAGTGTTAATGTAAACTTGAGTGAATAATTTTACTGCACTATGTGAGCTTAAGACATAAATCCTGACAAGTTGATTCTCTGTGAATATTTTTTGCTAAACGTGATAATCTCAATGTATCTTCATAAATTAAATTAAAATATTTCTTTTTATAGAAACAGGAATTAGTCAAAGCTTTACCATTGGATCGTATTCTAGTTGAAACTGATGCACCAGTACTAAGTTCATCTTCAATACAGGTAGATGACAATTTTCTATTTGAAAAAAAAGATGTTTTCCTTCTTTTTATTTAGAAAATGTTTTACTATTCGAAGTTGCATTTATTTTATGGCAATAAATTAGAATATTGTTTCTTTAAAGTTCAGCAGATACCATCTTATATCAACATAGTGCACGCAATGTCGAGTTACCTAGACTGATGGCCATATTGTAACTTGATCGATAAGATTTGATCTGCACTAAGAAGGATCTGACATACATGACATTGACCACCACTCAGTGATCAATCAATTGTAACTACATCTTAGTCCTACAGGAGGTCATTCGCGGCCCGGATAGCTCAGTAGTAACCTCTATGACTGCGGAATTGGGTGACACGAGATCGGATCCATCAGGGAGAATCAGTTCCCTCAATATTACAGATACACCACGCTGAAGAGTGCCAAGTAGCACGAAACCTAGGTCCAATGTTTCCTGTTGACTACCTCTAAACACGATCTTACAGAAATCGAGTTATACGAAGCTGTCTTTGATTGTGTTTGTATATGTTTTTTCTTGAGTGAAGACTTAAAAGTGAACACTCAGCCAGTCAAACTTATCTACTGGGACATCGATATCTAAGTGAACGTTCACAAACGAGTACTAAAATATACAAAATGAATAAATTCAGCATTTGCTACGCTGATCACCAAATATCAGCTCTACCTTTGTGTAGTTAAAATTTAACAGCACCCCTCTTCTTGTCATCTCAAAACAAATACATCAGTTTACATGTATGCATCAAAGTATACAGAATGGATGAACAGTGTAAGATGTAAATATTCACATTTTGTTCACATTCCACGTAAACATTTATCTTCTTCAATTCGATCGTCTTACCAACCAAAAACACCCCGAATTTACAATTTGTTATTAGACGAAGATAAATCTATTTTACTTAATATTTGATAACAATTATTACTGGAATGAATGTTTATGAGTGATATAATAATTATGAATTCAGTTGATATTGTTTACTTGAATCTTCCGATGTTTAGGACTGCGATTGATCAGTCTCTTGTTGGTATATGTACATCCTGTGTGGACTATCTCCATAATGCCTTAATTCACAAGCATTATAAACAGAAATGGATAGTGGCTAACAGTGAAATCCAGGACGTGCGTTTCGTTCAGCTTGCGATTCGTCAGCTGGATGTGGCTGAAATGCAGGCAGTCACAAACTGGACGAAACGCGAATCCTGGATTCCTCTGCTAGCCACTATCCACCTTCACTTATAATGCTTAATAATTATGAATGTTAAGACATTTCTACCTAGAAACTAGTCATTGTCAGTCAAGTGAAGATTCTATCTACATTTTATCATGTTATAAATGTTTTCACTACACAATAGTTTATATATTGTTACTATGTCATCTCATCATAACATTTTATTGTTAAAGATGATTATTCCAACTGATGTACACATGAGTTGTGAATTACCTTTACAGTCAGCTAAAAACACAATTCAATTTCAAACGGACTGGCAAATTTTTATTGCGAAGAAAATTATGTGGAATCATCTATAAGTTCATTTCAGACTGAGATCAGTTAAAATCCTATTGACCAACAACGACAAAAAACACTGTATAACTGAAATGTGTTAGTGTGTGGCTGCTTCGACATATCGAATTTATAATCTTCAAGTCTCGTTTCAGGCAACGTACTGTATTATTTGGGCAATGCAAATAAACTAGTGCTCCCTGTGATTGTGTTGTTTACTTCAAGTGATATCTACCAGTGAAAAATATCCATTATAAGTTTAACAATTATACACGATAGTAAATGTTTATTTTTATTATCAAAATTGGAAGTTTTGGAGATTGTAGTAGTTTTAACAGCACAATTTATGAGTTCGTCTAAACTAGATCACCGTTGAAAACCCGTTTCGTCCTAGTATGGGACTCTGCATCCACAATCCCACACACGAAACTCGAACTCAGGACCTTTGGTTTCGGGTGCGAACGTTTAATAGCCAAACCACTGGATCCTCATCCAACAGTGTTAATGTCTAACCTCAATCCCTCCATAATCTTACGCGACCCTTGATCAACTTACACTAATCTCCATTTTGCTCATTAGTGACTAGTTTCAATATGGATTCACTGGAGTGCTTATGAGAAGCTATGATCAGTGGAGTTCAATCCGTATCTGTTGTGAGACAACTATCAGCCTCAGACAAAGGGTGAGGGGTTGTGCAAAGTCATGGATTCATTGAAGTCAGACATTTACACTGTTGGATGCCGATCCAGTGATTTGGCGATTAAACGTTTGCACGTGAAACCGATGGTCATTCGTTCGAGCCTCGACTGCTTATTCGAGGATACACACTCCTGAGGAGTCCCACGCACTGGCGAAACGAGATTCCAGTGCTTCCAGGTTTCAATGATGGTCTAGCTTAAGTTGACTCTTGAATCCAACTGTTAAAATTTACTTTTATCTTACATCTCGCATTGTTCATCATTTTAAATTACAGAGCCGTACTGAACCAGACGAAGCTATCAAAGTATGTGAACACATTGCAAAAATAAAAGGAATAGATTTTGAAACAGTTTGTCAAATAACAACTGAAATGCATTTAAACTTTATGGATCACTGAATGTGAAATGTTAAGTTCATATGAACTGAAATTGAACAAAATATACTATGATATTCAAATCAAATTGCATTTTTACAAGACCATACTTTATTCAACGTATTGTTATATTGAACTGTAAAATACTCGGTTTATTGTTTATAAAGCATCCAAACCTATCTCATGAAACAGATGTTCATATCAGTAGTAAAATGTCGAGTGGAGTATACTGATGCAGATGCCTTTTAAGTACATACTTACTTACGCCTGTTACTCCTAATGGAGCATAGGCCGCCGACAAGCATCCTCCAACCAACTCTGTCCTGCGCCTTCCTTTCTACTTCTATCCAATTCTTGTTCATTCTTCGCATGTCTCCATTTCTCGGCGCAATGTGTTCTTCGATCCTCCTCTTTTCCTTTGGCCTTGAGGATTCCAAATTGAGGGCTCTCCTTGTGATACAGTTGGATGCTTTCCTCAATGTGTGTCCTATCCACTTCCAACACTTCTTCCTGATTTCTTCCTCCATTGGGATCTGGTTTGTTCTCTTCCATAGTGGGTTGTTCCTGATAGTGTCCGGCCAACAGATCTGAAGTATTTTGTGTATACAACTGTTAGTCAACACTTGTATGTTCTGGATGATGACTTTCGTAGTTCTGCATGTTTCCGCCCCATACATTAGAACTGTTTTGACATTTGTATTGAAAATTTTGACCCTGGTGTTGGTTGGGAGTTGCTTTGAATTCCAGATGTCCTTCAGTTGTAAATACACTGCTCTTAATTTGCTGATCCGCGCTTTCACATCTGCATCAGATTCACCATGTTCATCAAACGCTAACCAGAAAAAATTATTCAAACCATTTAAACTCTGTCTTTTAAGTAAATAGCATCTAATTAAAGAATAATTACAGGAAAAACCTATTTAAGTAAACATTTTTACAGTAGTGACTTAATTGAACAATGAATAGACATAAATACAGTAATGTTGCAGTGAAGAAGAAGAAGAAGAAGTCAGGTGGGGAAGATCAACTTACTAATAACGCAAAACCTCAGAGTTCTTTCTTGAAATATGAAAAACCATATATTGAATACTTCATTTGCAATCTTCCATCATTTCTTTAAAACTTCATCGTTCCTTCATTGTTGTTACAATTACTCTCTGTTTACATTCTCGTTCTGTTCAATTTGATCTTAACCGTCTGTTGTCAGGTATTCCACTTCTGATCATTATATACTACTTATATCGACAGATATAAGTAGACTACTGAAAATGACTGACTCATCTTAGATGCATGACATTTTTGAATTGAATCGATTACAATTTACCTGCTTTTGTTCTATGTAAACCTTCCTTTGGTCATACTAAACAATATTCACGAGAATGAGAATGTAAATTCTTGAAGCGTAGATCAGTATGACCTACTTAATAAAACAAGCTTAACTGACAAATGGTTGTAGTTTAACCATACAAAACGTTGTTTAGGCGATTCTGCGTCATATTTGGATAAATAACTTCCTAGCTATATCACCTCTGAAACCTAAGCACATTAATACAGTCGTGTTTTACTTTCAATAAACTACTTCAAATATATGTTTTTCCGTCGAAAATTAGACATTCGTTTGAAATCATTGAATACAAGTAAACTTATATATCAGTATACAGTTGTGGAGATTATTTAGTTTTGGTGGAGATCGTGAACCAATTGATGCTGAACCAACATCGAAAAACTGAAAGCACTGGACGGGCACTTAGTCCTATTGTGGGACTCCTCAGCAGTGCGCATCCACGATCCTGCACGTGGGATTTGAACCCAAAGCCTTCAGTCTCGCGGGATCGTGTATACGCACTTCTGAGGAGTCCAACAATAGGACGAAATAGCCATCCAGTTCTTCCAGGTTTTCAATGGTGGTCTAACATCAATCGGTTCATTATCTCAGGCATAAACTTATATAACCTGTGTATTTTCTTATTTATCAACTCTAAAATATTCAGCTTATTTTTAGAGAAAAATTTCACTTAATTGAATCTTATTTTACTTCACTATTTCACTTGTAGTAAGGTTCGCACTCGAGGACTTAATCCTTAATCGCATAGTGATAATTTAACCACCTCTTATAAATGGTGTATGATAATTATATACGCAAACTACAAACGTATTATTATTAAAGAAATTCGTCTACTCATTAGTGACTAAATTCTTGAACTTTTGGTGATAGTTATGATACAAATAACATCAGCTTTCTAAAATACTTGAACTTAGAAACGTAGACCATCGGAGTTTAGCATAATGAGTCGAATCTAATGTGATCATCGACAGGTTTAAAGTCCTGGATGCAATCTTTAGAAGAATAGTTGACACACTTTAACGATCTTATGCTTTGATCAAGTCACGTTTTGAACATCTCTCGATTTTAGTTGTCAACTAGCTATAATCAGCCTGTGAATCGATGTAAAATTATAAATATCACTTTAGTACGTCCGTAAGTGAATGCACATATCTATGAATTGTGGGCATTAGTGTCAGTAGTAAGGCCATTGATACAGGATACATTATCAATATCATACCATGTACAAGAAAACCGTTTATTTGGAAGTGCTTTAGAAAATATTATTACTTACGGTATCAGAATCACAGTCAATGTATTTTACAAAGTTATCAATTGCGGATAAAGCTGTACAATGAGTTCATCGGATAAACATGACTAGGTTACTTGTAAGTAGTTACTCACCCACTTGATAAGTCGATCCCATCCTTTCTGAGTATAAAGCCAAGGTTTTCTACTATCGTAACTGAGTTATGTATACTACTGATCGAGACTAAATAATGATCTACATAAAAGCTTCTATCTGCACCTTCTTGTACGCCGTTCGCCAACTTTTCATCAAACATATCTACAATATGAGATATTATACCCTATTGATTCTTCCGCTGTCCGAACTGTGGTTCAGTTAATGGATCTCCACCACTGCGCAGAAGTGTGATTTACGGTCATTATGTTTCTTGACAATTCTCTACCTCCAAGAACTCACTGGTTAGTTGCTTCTTCCCATAAGAGAGAAGTTTAAGAAGTACAAACTAAAGAGATGTAAGTTTCGCAGCTCACTTTGATACCACATAGGTTGATTGGAATGACGCATGAACAAACATTCATCATAGTCTTATCAGTGGCTTCTGATACGCTATTCTCTAAATCTGGTGGTGAATAATATACGGTGGTTTCCAGATTGGCTGTGCAGTCTACGTTGGACAAATATCCCATTTGTTCGTAAATTATATTTGACCGGATGGTCGATCATGTCATCTGCTGAACATTCAATAGGCTTATGATTGTGTAAATCTACATCGAATTAACGAGAAAACAGTTTTTTTCCTTCCATATAGATTATACAGAATTATCTCGCTCTGTTATTAGCCAAATGACAAGGTAAAATGATCCAATATTAAAACGCCATCCTGAACTTTTCTATGCTGTGGTAAAGCACCAATCACAAGAGCCAATACTACTACGCTTAAGCAGGTTTCCAAATTTAGAGCCATGCGATAATGATGTACAATAAGGCATTTTCTGTATAAGAGGTGGAAAATCACTAAGATCATCTTCTATATAGATTAATTTAACTCGGATTGTCTTCTTTTATGCGAATGGAGTCATCGCAGTATAAGTTATATAATTAGCCCAAACTTCACGTAGACGTTTGTGTTGCCGATGACCCAGCTCAGTGGACAAAACTCTATCAAATTCATCCACCCGAGCTACAAATCTTCTACACCATCTTTAGTCTTTACACCATATTCGTTATTTCATTCTTGTCTCCATCAATCACTAATTCAATTCTCGTTGTAACTGAATGATATCAAACAACGAATTACTGACAAGTAATTTCAGTCAATATTACATTTCGTCGAACTGATTGTTTGATAAAGAACTCATAGGAGATACATGTTAAGATTTTATACTGTTAATATAAGAAGAAGAAAACGTTTATTCGTCGACTTTGACAGAAAATTACTGATTACAGATCATAATTAAACTGGAAATCAATAAAGTATGGATCGTTATTATGGAACTACAGTTTGATCAATTTCAATTATTACCTGGAATTTAATTAAGAATATTTGTGAGTAATCAGTAATATAATCAATCAGAAAATACATGTACATTTGGTATGAATGGTTGTACAAATATAAAACTTCTTAGTCGACTCTGTTCAACATATATGAATTCATTTAGTCAATTACGTTGTAGATCTCACCAAAAAACGACCATGTATTTGAGTGTCAATTAGGAATTGAAAGCACTTGTTTGAATTGTCACTTCACTAGACTACATCTAAAACATCTATTTAAATAGACAATTCAGTTCAATAGGTATAGTGTATGTAATCTATTAAACTGATCTTTAATAACATATAACACTATTTAACACCTTTCCATTATCAAATCACAATAATTTGGTTGACATGCAACAACGGAAAACGTATTAAGTATTCATTGACAAAATCATTATTAGTAAGTCATTCGATCCGTTACTTACGTAGCATGTCTACGATTTTCGAGAATAATTTATACTGATCTGAAATGTAAGTAAATGAATGATCGTTAACGCTGACATCTATCTCATTATTGACAAAAATAAGAAATTACATCATAAGATATTTCCTGTTTATCTAACATAGATCTATTGTATACACATACGTTGAACTCCTTCATAAGTGTGCTTGTAGAAGAAATATTTAATTGAATAACTAAAGTTTATTGATGCCCATCTAACTTTGGCTACCGAGTCAGTGAGACAAAATACAATTTCACAATGCACTCGTTGATCTTTTTAAGTCAAACTGTTTGACATATATGGTAGGTCAGCTGTGTAATTAAGTTTAAACATGACTATGATTTCTTAGAGAACCAATAAACTGAATCTTAACACTATGAAGTTACTTCCACTAACTAAAATTAAAAACTGAATCGTTATTAGACATTATGTATTACGTTTCAGCTTGTATATCACCATTGTCTAGTCATTT